TACATACATACATACATACATACATACATACATACATACATACATACATACATACATACATTAGATGTTTTATCAAGGCACTTGGTATGCCCAAATATGGGTGGGAGCATACTGCTTCCCTTTGCCCTTCAACTCAGCCTTAGGAGCCTTCCTGGCCAAAACCATTTTGTATTGAATTCTTAATTATTCCTAATTTTTAATAATTTCTAATTATTCCCCTGGCTCAACTGATAAGGATTTGGCTAGCTGATGAGAGCTAAATAGCTCCAAATAGATCTATACTAGTTTCCATTTATTTATCGCCAAAAAAATTATAAATAGATGATAGACAGAAAAATAGGTAGAAAGATAGATAGAGCCTTTGTGTGTGTGTGTATGTGTGTCTGTACGCATGCCTGTGTGTCTGTGTGTGTGCGCGTCTGTATGTTTGTGTCTGTGTATAATAGATGCAGCATGTGGCATAGTATAATATACCTTATTACTATACCCAAAAGGTAAGTCTAGTAACTGTTGTCACTTATTATATTAGAATCCATACTGATAGATCAGAATGCTTTTTAAAAACATAACAACATAGTTTATTGATCTTTGTTAAACTAAATTTGTTTACAACTGAGCAAGATCTTTTAACTTTTCTTTTCTGATAATATGGCAGCAGATTGCTCCGAGAGGAATGGTAAGTTAGAGAACATTTAGTTTGACAAAGACAGTTACTTTAGTGGTACTAAAATAACTGATTTTTTGTTGTTGTTAAATTGATTAATGAAACACAACATTCCCTCTTTTAATCTATTTTTTTTTAACTTTGTGTGGGTGTTTTCATAAAGGACACATGCAGCTATTTTTAAAATTATAGTTTATGTCACATCCCTTTCTAAACATAATGCAGCATCTGTTTATAAATGTATTACATTCAGGTCAGATTTTTAAAATTAAAATAGTATTTGCCTTATAGGTATTTAAAATGATTCATATGCTCCTGACTTAATCAAAGGAACTCAGGGTGAAATCTTACACTGAAAGAAGAAAGTAGAAATGTTCAGAATCAAGAGTCTTATTTATATGGAAATGACTGACACAGAACATTGCATTAATGCTCGCGTGCAAAATCAGAGTGAATGTACATCACATTTGAATCATCATGCAGAAAAGATCAAACTTTGGGGTTTTTTTCTTCACAAAATTTAGTTTGTCAGGTTTTTATTTTTAAAAGCCCAAGATCCCTATCTAAAAACTAGCTATATCTAAAAATTGAGGGCTTAAAACTAGATTTTTCTTGAAACGACAAAATATGCCAATGCTTCAGATGCTTATGTAAACAGTACATCTGGAAGACTGCAATGGGACACAACTGAATAGCTGTTTT